TGGATAAAAAGTTTGTCAAACACTTAATTACTCCTCAATAAGCGCATCAGGTACGTAAGCAAGCAACAAACATCTTCTTTGCTGTTTACTATCGTATTGATGTACCGGAGATTGATTACTCTTTGTCTGCCGTTGATGAAAAGCGAATTTTATAATTGCACCGTAATACGGACAACAAATGTAAATCGAATGCTTTTGAAATAAAATCTCAATTGTCTGAAAGGACCCCCCGTTTTCCCGTTGTTAGGTTTTAGTCCGCCATAAATTCCTGAACGCAAACACGCTTTTTCCTCATTGTACGTCCATTGAATATAAATTTATTGAAAATTTAAGTTAATAATGGAAAAAATCATAAGGCGCTAAGTCGACTCATAACATAAATTTAGTTTAAATAGATAAACTGTCAAAATTGAACATGCAGACCAGATCATTATCAATTTGAACATGTGCCAAAAAAAAATTAATAATTAGACCAATAGTTGATCGACGTCTTATTGCCGGCTAAAAGCAACTCCAAACAATTCGAGACAATGGCGTCGCACATTGGATGTAGTGAATGGCAGGCAAAAGCAGGCCGATACACATATGTGTGAACGTGCGACGATTAGTGGGGCAACAAATACAGAATGAAAATGTTGTTGTTAAGATAATTTATGGTTTTAGCGAAATCATTTGCACAGAAATTACACTCGCGTTAATAACAGGAAGGCAATACACTTGAATAAAAATTACATTTAATTAAATTCTGTTTTATAGATAAATTTCAAAAAGCGATATGTTTGGAATATTTAATTAAGAAAATATTAATGACTTTTAATTAAAAATTCAATTCGAAAAGTTAAGAAAACAATTTTCAAACGATATTTCGAAAGAATGCTTCCTACAATTTCCTACAGTAAGAAAATTTTATCAACAATTTCCCCAAAATATGTACCTAGCACTTAAAGGCACCGTTAAAAGTTTAAGAGAAGCTAAACGTATAATTACATTATTGACACTGGGACAAACTCATACTATAGGAAGAGATACATTCAGATTTTGGATCATCTTAACTGATTCTGCCTTTTAGTTCACCCTTTGACAGAATAATCTCGTTGAACTGCGTCATTTTCACTCTTGGTTAGGTGTCCAAATAGATCTGAGATCCTTGTTAACGAATCATAGAATTGAAGAATTGGAACATTTGTCGAAGAAAAATATATTATAAAATATTTAATTTAATGAAATTCCTTCCTGTCCTTATCGATAAGTAAGAGTACAAATGCCATTAGCCGATTACTTGGGCCGAAAGTTAGATAGTCGCCCATTGTATACACGCACGAATTAGAAAAATAAAGAACAAGTGTGAATTTTAAACGTTGGAAGGTTCAATATTTTTTAGATAAACTACTGTCCACTTGGGGTCATTTTAAGATCGCGTTTAGATATCAAAGCCCTGCTAAGGGTCCGTAAAAATTATGGTTACGATCGATCCAATTTCTGGTTTGCAGAGCAAAACAAACCGATGCTCGCCTTGATCGCACATCTTATTGTAAACATGTTTATGTGCGCTTAACATAACTACATGCTTAATATGAAGACTTAACCCAAGAACCTATGTGTGTGCTCTTAGCCTTCTACTTGTGTTTATAGAAAATGTTGCAATTCTAATAGCAAGCGACCAAGGGGCTGATGATCCCACGCATGTGGTCAAATGAACGCAGACCTAAAGTCCACTAATTATATGTGCGCATCAATCCAATCCGATTGAACTGCATGCATTCGATGATCAGTCCATTTCGCCATATCTTCATATTGAACGACTTTAGATTCCAGATCAATATTTAAATATACCCATCCGGGCATCAACCCATCCGGCCATCAACCCATCCGCCCCCAATGTATCGATTTGTATCTTGATTTGTTGCTTGATTAACATCATTTTTGTCTCGATATTTCAAATATTTCTACAAAGTTCTGCTTGAACAAATCCTAAATATTGTCAACTAAAGTTTTTTGGCTGTCCTAAGCGTGTTTCTGAGAATCGACTTCTTTTTAAAATCGATCTGGGTGCCTGTTAACTCAGAATAACTGCACTAAAGTTCAGCTTTCTATCTCAAAATATGTGATCATCTAAGTCGCAGCAACGGTCAACGCAGAAACCAGCAGAAAAATGGGCAATGGCATATAAGTTGATCGTAATGAGACCTTCAATTAGTATTTATAAGTTTTTTTTTTTTTAATATGACCAAAACTCACTCAGAGGATGCCTCATTTCGTGCATTTTCGATGACGATCGGAAAGAAACGAAGAAAGGAAAAGGCATAGGGACGAGTGTCATGCCTTTATCGATAACCACTCATCATAGCTACGATTAACGAAAAATCTAATGCACTGTGCCTATGAGCCCACGAACATTGAGTTGTTAGTCGCGGTTATTACCTACTGCTCAGACGGACGAGTGCAAGTGTTACAAATGAAGTGGCAAATTTAGCGTGCTATAGTCAGTTGTCGCAAGAACGATTCACATGATTTGTTTTATGTATATTATATATAGATTATATAGATTATATCAGCCTTTCATGGACGTTCTCGGGGCAGGGTGACTGTCCGGAAAGATTACAACTAGGAGGGAAGAGAACAGCAAAAAGAGGCACTAGTGTCTTTGTACGTTCGAGAATAGGAAGTGGAAATGGCTGCAAAACTTGGATATTAAATGATGCTTTATCTCACCATTGATATAACCCCTGCATGCAAGCTGAAGTTCTTCGCAAAAGCATATATTGTATATAGCGTATATAAGAAAGAGAGCAGACGAAACTATGTTCTTATTTCCTAACTGACTGACATTAGTTACGAAATTTTCGCAAAACGCACTACATCTCTTCAACAAGAGTGAAAGTTTCAGTCCATATCATTGTTTGTTAGGCAATGGTCTCCCTACATAAACATAACCTTAATCATGCAAAAATATTGTTTTTGAAAATTTTCGAAAATCGAAGTCGAAATCAAATCTATCTCTATCTGTACTTGCTCTTAGCTAATACACTATCGAACTACGTATCTGTCTGTACTCCTTCAAGAAAGCTCCCGTTTAAATTAATTGGTTTTATTATATTTAATAAGATTTAATGCTGCCACAGGAAACACTTTTACTTATTTTCAATAATTAAAAATCCATTTTTAAATAGTAAACCAATTAAATATCATCCTTTCAACTAAGACATCGTTTGATTAGATTCAAACAAACAAAGAGAAAATTAAACACAATATTCCGTTTGAAATACCAGCAGGCAATATCAACTACGGTAACAACAGCAGCAGCAGCAGCAGCAACAGCGGCCTTATAAGCATTAGCACCATTTTCATAGAAAACATAATTGAAGCAAATGAGATGCGACAGATATGTTATGCATATATGCTGGAGTGTATGCATCCGTACACATACATAATTTCGTCACAAAGGGATCGAAATATATATATATATATATATGCGCCCTATGTATAATAAACTGTAAGCGGAGAGCAGTGTTACCATCAGACTTTAGTACGTTCCAGAGGAATCGTTTACGAAAATCAAATATAATGACATGCAAGGAAATGAAGCTAACACTTGAAATAGTTTAGAGGCAATGAAAAAATGTAATACTTTTTGGTTCTAGTAACCTAAGAAGACCTATGATCGAATGCAGAAAAAATATCGGAAAGACTTCGAGACAGTAAAGGGGACTTGGTAAAATGTTTATTTTGTTTTTCGAGAACGTATGCCTTTCGTTCTCAAAGCGATTTTGATTTTGAATCTCTAGTTGTATGATTCTCTCAGTTTTACTGTTGTTTCACTCCATTCCACAGTTTCAAGTAAAACGAATTCCACTCTGGACGGATTTCTACGCAAATGGCGATTTTAATTTATGTTATATATCCGTTTTGGTATATGTGGTTGGCGGACTTTTTAAGATTTTAGTCTTTGCTAAGAATGACCTGAAGTTAATAACACTTTTTTGATCAAGTGACTCTGTGATGAGGCAGAATTTTCTCGCTAAGACCTTAATAACTGAGATTTTCGCAATATTTCCACAAAAGCTTTCCATTGCCATGTGTAACATTTTCTAGTTGAGACGGAAGATATACGCTTAGCCAAACTTAACATATAATTGTCGACATTACGAGTATAGTAGCGGTATTAAAAACAGCGAGTTGTGTCAACTGCCCGAAGAGATGGATTCAAGTTAATATCTACGGGCCCTACAACAACACGCCGCTTAGCTGGAAAATTTATGTTAAAAGGAATGCTGTTTACGTTGCAGCATTACGGCAACACTATCGACAAGAGTTAAACAAAGATAATGAAACTCGTTAATTTGCTTATTGAACTAAATGACGACAACCCATCATGCATGGCAGTCGTTCGTGTGTGCCTTTGTCTGTGTGCGTCAGTATTTACTTAGGTTCCTACCATAAAATCTAAAAAACCAACAATATCAGCAAATCCATATATCAGCAGCAATAAATTTATTTTTAACTAACATATATGCGCGCATATGCATGCATTTGCCCATCTATTCGCATGTGTTCATGTGCATGTGTAGGTAGTTATCGGAAGCCATATGCAAAAGAGGAACTTTAACGAGTATAAAATGTAACAGCTTTAGAGTTTTAGTAACGCCCATCAAGAGAAATCATTAAAGCAAATATGAGGACTTAAACCTTCACTAAACACGAACACTGACAGAGAGATGGATGCCTTTATAATCATATTTCTGTCGCACTTCCATATCCTCTTGCCGAGGGTGAAGATAAAATCCACACTTATGAATGGCTGCTATAGAACGACTAATGCGACTAATGGCACTCTTTGAATGCCAAAAAGAGATAGCGTAAGTCACGGGTACATAAACGAAGTGAGCGCAAAGAGCATCTACTTCGAGAGGCTTTTGTGCAAGAGTATAAAGAGCGTAATCTATGAAAAATTCCCCTCGCGTATACTTAGTGCCGGAGTAGAGCATTTGTGGATTATTCTGTCAGCGAGTGTCGTTGAGTAAACACATGCGTTTAGTGAATGTACGCGTACGGCGCGTGTGTGTGTTAAATGTGCTATTAGTAAAATAAAAAGTGTAAAAAACTATATAAAACCTGTCTGTATATTAAAGTCAATATAAATAAGTTATCTTGAAGGTGATTACAAGAAAAATGTTAACACAAACTTTCTTTTAATGTCGTTAGAGAGAATACCATGATTGCTTAAACGAGCGTGAATAAATAGTGATTAAGAAAGAGTGATTGAAAAAATTATTTTGCCAACATAACGGAATTAACGGCGAATTGTATTAAGACGCCCAGCGCTTCTATTCATCAAAATATATTTATGACTAAAATGATTCCGCCGGTACCCACTTCAGCCGTGATGTTGCCAACGCCCAAGCAAAAGATCGGCTTTAGCATTGAGTCGATCGTTGGCAATGATGCTAATTCAGCTAATACCGTCGGCAGCAGTAATGCTGCTATGATTAATGATTCCCTAAATACTTCGGAGGATCAGAATTCCGCGAACAGTACCAGTAACGGACCCACCTCACCGCCCCAAACTCCCCCTTATAATTTGCCAAGTTTGACTGCATTAAATCATCATCATCATCTGTTACCGGTACCGCAGGCCGGTTATATGGCCGCTCATCATCTGTCGTTGGCCCAACAGCAAGCTTTACATCATCATATTTTGATGCAACAGCAGCAGCAACAGCAACAACAACCGCAACAGCATCAGCAAACAAATCCTCCAAAACCAGACATTACGGACATTATACAACGTTTACATAATTCAGCGGCGGCGGCAGTTCATTTGAACTCTGCCGCCAATAGCCCGTATAGTCCACCGCCTCAAACACGTCTTTCACCAGACTCGATATCAAATAATACCCAACAATCCCAGCTATATCACCATCAATCGCTGAACAACAGCTTAAAACGCGAACGTTCTCCGATACCGCAACAGTTGGAGAATGCTCAAAATCCCGCTCATCGCCATCAACCGCCCCATACACCTCCAAAATCAGTATCACCGCAATCTTCGCAACCATCGACTCCACCAGCTTCAGCGCAGCCTAATTCAAGTGTAACTGGCAGTCCTAGTTTGGCACAGCACTACGGCAAGCCAAGTCCAGCTTCTGCTACTTTAAGCAGCCACGGAAGTGTGCCGATTTTAGTACCGGGATTACCGCCCGCGAATATAGTAAGACCATTTCCTATGGGTCCTGGAGGACCCCCACCTCCACCACCACCCCCGCAACAAGGCATGCCCGACATCAAGGCTTTGCCACCCTACATAAATACCCCGCCAGAATTGCCACCGCATCAGCATAATCCTCATTTAATAGCTGCGGCCCAATTTCAAATGGCAGCCGCTTTGCAGGCGGGGCATGTCTTAGGACCTGCAGCTGCAGCTGCCGCCGCTGCTGGCCTGCCTCCGCATGCTGGACCCTTTATGCCCGGACCCGGACTCCCGCGTGACAGTTATCCCCTCTATCCTTGGCTACTTAGCCGTCACGGAAGAATATTTCCCCACCGTTTTCCAGGCAGTAAGTACTATGTTTTTCTTTTTTACGAAACGTCATAACAAGTAACCGATAAAGCTTTGTTCATGCTAACGCTAATCGTGCCTCCTACCACCTGCCTTTGACTTTCTTATAGATTTTCTATTGCAACCCTTCCGTAAACCTAAACGTATACGTACGGCTTTCTCACCCTCTCAACTATTAAAACTCGAGCACGCTTTCGAAAGTAATCAGTATGTAGTGGGAGCTGAACGTAAAGCTTTGGCTCAGTCTCTGAATCTTTCCGAAACCCAGGTAAAAGTGTGGTTCCAAAATCGTCGAACCAAACATAAACGTATGCAGCAGGAAGACGAGAAAGGCGGCAATCCTTCCGAGCGCAATTCTCAAAATACCAGCTGTGACGAAGACGATGACGAGCTAATCGATATGGAAATGGATGATTGTCCTAGCGACGATGAACATGAATTAGAAGCGACAAATCACTAGCTAGAATATAACGGCAGAAGGGACAACACATAACCTCATTCTGTATAATTATGTAAATATATGTGAAAACAGAGTAAAACAAGCCACGTATAGAGAGTTCCTTAAAGAAAGCAAATTAACGCGAAATGACGTCCGATGAGGAGAGTGTGCGATTGGTTGTAAACGGTTTACTTTAGTTCGTTGTGATATATATGTTACTTTAAAATCCTAGGTTTCTTATAAGAGGGAGAAGCGAGCATAGATAGAGTAGAAAAAAAAAAAGCAAAAACAAGCAAAAAAAAAGAAAGCATAAGCGCAAGTTGATGCCTATGTTTCGTAAATATTAAGAAATTATTTGTTATTATTTCTATGTAAAGCCGCGTAAAAAAACTCATTTCAAGGCGATGTTGATTGATTGATTGATTTGTGTAATTAAGACTTTTAGATAATAATAAATCTAATGTATATAAGACAGTTAAAGGGCGCCACAAATGTAGCCACAAATAAACAAACGGATTTTATAAATCTTATGTACATATAATTAATTAATTGATTGAATTAAGTGTTAAGTTTAAGTATAAAATTTAGTAAAATATAATAGTATATTAATAATATATTAATAATAATAATAATAATAATAATAATAATAATACAATAATTGAAAAATTCATTAAAACAAAATTCCATTCAACAATTCATTTGAACTAATCTGCATAAGTAATGCAGTTCATGCCGCCGGTATATCATTTTATGATAGTTTGGATATAATCTGCTGAATTTCTTATTACTTATTGTTATCGTTGCTTATGCACACACACACACACACGCACACACACACACACACACACTCACTCTCGATAATGGCCAACACATTAATAAACGATAACAAATTGATGATATCAACGACGATGGCGTGATGATGATAATTCAACCCACAACCTATGAGCATTTTATACAAATACAAATTCTCGTTCGCATACACAGGGGCCACACTACGCTTATACACTTGCTAAGCCTATGCTTAAGCTTAGCATCGATGCTTATATCTTTAGTATCCTTAAGGCATTTCGCCACTATAGCTAGTTACAGCTACATGCTGTTATGCTTTAGCTTAAGTATAAACATAAACACCCGTTCCTTACTCTTATTATAATAATCGAAGAATTTCCACTAACAACGAAAAGATTTTGATCTTCTTCAACAACTGCAGCTACACGACATACACATGCTTCTTTTTTGTTTTTGTTTGTGTTTTTCATTTTTATTTTTATTTTTTTTTTTTGCTTTCTTATTTATTTATTTTATTTTATTTTTTTGTGCTTTTCTCTGTTGGTTTATTGTCAGTGTGAAATCAGTTTAATATGATTGTTGTTCTTGTTGTTATTGGGGTTTCTTGTTTTCTTTCGTTTCGAAGCAAAGATTATTATTAGGTTTATATCACATAAACACTACTACTGGCACCATCACAACCATCAGCACTTGGAACCTTTTGTTAACACAAACCACGCATAGAGAGACTTTCACAAGGAAGCATATATACTTTGGCAGTATATAGGTATCATAACATAATATAACGTTTCCTCCCACCCTCCTCCTCCGTATTTAGTCCGCTTCGTTCGAGTTATATCGTTCAGCCGTCTGTGTAATAATTAATAATAAATTACACCCACCTTTTGGCATTTTTATAAATATCTCTCACTCAATTCATGTTTTCTTAGTTCTTAATGCATACACTCACGCACCTATATATTCATACTAACAATTATATATGTTTGTGTTTGTATTGTTTTTATATTCTTTCATAACTCTTCATCATCATCATCAGTTTAAGTTAACAGTGGTCGAGTTATCGAGCCCGTAGACAGTTTCATCTACAACAACATGCGTTTGCCTTAAAAATTTATAAATGGTTGTGGTTGCATTTGTATTTGATATATATGTACTCTCATAACAATTCTCGGAAATTAACACCCGAGTGTTTTCATTTCTTTACACATATTTCGTTTGTTTCGTTTAGTTGGGCTTCACCTCCAGTTCAGTGTTGCGGCCAAAGGTTATACCTATAGTTGATTTAAACGCATATTTATGTTATTAAGAAAACGATCGTACTCTCCCAGTCTCTCTATCTTTTTTTATTTATTTATTTATTTTTTTGTTTTTTCTCTTTATACTTTTTTGTGGCCAACGAATTGCATTAACGATCGCTAGGGCGCTGCTAACTAGCAGTTTTAATAAAATTTATTATTAGTTTGTGCTCAAAGTATTAACTATCCAAACATTTCTCTTTTCTACCGTAATTCGCGGTTGAAAGTGTTAAAATTTAACAGGCATTAATTTCCTTCTCTTTTTTAACAACTTTATCCCATTGATTTATGACTTTTCCAAAATTCTTAATCATATATATGGAATGGATGGCATTAATATTGATTTATATGATTGAGTATGTGAAAGGGATGAAGTGGTTTGACCAGAGGTGCCGAATAGGTCCCCTCGGAAACTCTTACAGTATGGATCCCATTCCATAATTAAAAACGTTGTTGCTTAAAGACTCAAACGAGCTTTTCTAACCCCCATCCTCACTGATACATGTATTTTCCAGACGCCAACATATAATTTATTTTATAGCGATTTTACTTAAGAACCAATGAAATTATGAATGATAACTTACACCTATCGGAAATGTGTTTGTACAGCTGTTAAAACAAAAAACTCGCAATAAAGCGGTCGCAGTAATCCATAAAAAATAATTATTCCTCACCGACTGGAACGCGTAAATTTCGTAGAAGACATACAACAGGTCCTTCGAACCTGGCTGCATAGACAGCACGATCAGACAAAAACCTTCTTCCTCAGATATAACATTTTCCTTAATTCAATTGAAATTTTCGCAGTAAATACTTTCACAACTAGTATGCCTCAGTGTAGTGTGACCTTGACAATGGTAAGCTTTATAATAGAACTTTTGACAATACTACACCTAATGATAGTAAACTTAATCTAGCAAGCTTATGACAGCTCGTAGCTTTATGATAGTTCGCTTCATAGAAGTGCACTTCGCTTCACAATAGTATGCTTCGCAATAGTATATTTGGCAAAAGTACGCTTCTTGCCTAGGCGATTTTTTTGCGATAGCGGTCTTCGTAAAGAAATCTTTCATAAACACAGTTTTCGATTCTCATAAAGTGTGTTCTCATATTGGTGTCCGTTACGGTCGGGTGCTTGACGAGCGAAAGTTTTCACTTTTCGCAATTTTTAAAGTGATACTTTGCACAGTGCCACACTTCGCAATGGCATGCTACAAAATAATACAACAGCGACATCCTTCACATTGACCCACTCCTTCGACAACCTCCACAATAGAGACCTCCACAGCTGACCATATTTGCTACGACGGTTTCAACGAAGGTGTTCTTTTCAATAGAAATCTCGTTTTTCTAACCAACAGGGATCAAGGATCGAACTTTCCGATTTGCCATTCGCTGTATAGGATCACAGTCATTCACGCAAAGGCTGCCTACGAGATCGCCACTTATTCCAAGTTTTTTTGTACACAAGGTTCAAAATTCATGTATACTTACCCCTTAGTTTAGTGGGAACCCTTACCAGCGGAAAACTTTGAAGTGGAGACACTTGTTCTGCAAATTGTGCCAGTGAAATTCTTGGTAATGGGAAACTTCAATGTGAAAATCGTTATCTTCAACTGAAAATCTTCTCAGTAGCATATGCCGGTGTGACGTTTCTCGTAATGATCTCAACGAACCTATTGCAATGATAACCTCTAGAATGGGAATTTCGTCATTGTGTCCTTTCACAAAGGCACGGCCGAGATCCTCTTCATTGCAAATATCGCTGTTCTTATCTGTGTAGAAGTAATCCAATCGTCAGAGTGTCAAAAAAAAAAAAAAAACAGATCTTGTAGGCTCAGATTCATTCATATGCAGCTTGTCAGCGGTAAACTTTAATGTATATGTAAAACCCTTCATAACGGAAATTTTGTTAATGGGAAGGTCACGGAAGAAATCTTCACTGAACAAACATTCGCAATCGGAATATTCGTATCTTTGGAAGCATGAAAGCGTGGAAATCTTCTCAGGGACTTCTTCGCATTCGACATATCCAGAACGGAAACCTTTGTAATAAAAACATTCGAAGCGAAAAATTTTGTAGTAAACTACGGCGACTTTTACAGACAGACACATAGAGTGTCTGCTATTTAGTGGATCAGCACCATGCGGCATGCATTTGACACCAAATGAAAGTTTGAATTAACTGAGGAACATTTCGTCGCGAGGTCTGCTTAGACCAAATATTTTATGTTTTTTATCAAACGGCTAAGTTGTGATCTATCAACTTGCTTAAGAATGAATGTTTTGCGTGCATATCAAGCAATTATTTTATGATTTCTGTAACCGTGGACGACTTAAGTGGTTGCGCATTGTGTGCAGTCCAGAGCGAGCGCTAAAAGCAAGAAATTAGTTAAAATTATGGAATGTAAGAAATGCTCATATAACAAACGTTGTTTTGCTTACCTCCAACTTGAATTGAAGTTTTATTTGCCGGGCGATTTGGTTGTTGTCTTACCTTGTTTCTCCTTTAAGTTTTCCTGTTTCGTTCGTTTGTTCTTCATCCTGTTTAATAAATGCATGTTTAATAATATTTATGTATGTTCGTACAATTTTCTAGAATTTTGTAATTATTCACAAACACACTTGCATATCTATACACTATATACAGTATATGCATGCACGCATTGAAACATGTGTGGTTACTAATGGACATGAGCTTTGCGTCGGCTGGGCTACAGGAGCAGCAGCGTACAGCAAATAGTCCAGCATAACTTTGGCGCAGTAGGTGTAACCGTATACAGTGTTATGCTGTCTGTTTCGTTAATTGCGCACATGTCTTGACTTTTGACGTATGTTTCTTGTCTGCTTGTTTGTTTTCTGTATGCATGTAAAAGTTTGTTTGTATGCAGATGTGTGTGTGTGTGTGTGTGTGTGTGTGTGTGTGTGTGTGTGTGCATTTGTGTTTATGTGTGGTTCATGGGTGCCTTTTCTTCTCAACTCAATGTAACCCGGCT